TTCTGAATGACCAGCAAGCTGAGACTGTAATTTCAACATGTGACGTGTAGTAATATTTGTCTGAGACTGTCTTACATCCACAGACTTCGCCCGATTTTCAATTACATTATTGGTAGCTATTGTATTTTGGGTCTTTTTGTTGGACTGGACATGACTTTCTGCTTGATGTGTGCTTTCTGTTTTTCTCTTCCGGGTCGGGATTCTGTCATTCATCGCAGCCATTTTAGAATTCCTGCTCTCCTGAAATCAAATGCATCAGAAAATAAACACACTTAACTAAAATAATCAGAACAAATTAACAATAATAGTAATAGTTTCTTCACATATCTGTTCACATCCCTTGAACAAATAAACAAGTTATGAAATATAAAGGCTTTGAGATACATCTCTGATCACGTGCGGTAGTTGACAGGCATATTTCTTGAGGCTACAATTTGTTTGCAATTCCCTGTTTCTTTTCAAGGCTGAAAATCACGTCGCCTTCATTGCAATTTGCAGTAGAATCCAACCAAAAAACAACCAGAGGTTAATCAAGACCTTCACATTCAAGGAAGAACAGTCTTCCTTTCTAGGCATGACAGGGTGGAGAAGAAAGGGCAGTAAGCACAGCGGCTTCTCAGTCATGGATTTTCACAATCTATTAGCCATCACTGGGAAGCTCATCCAGCTGATCACTGCAGACGGTTCCATGGCCCAGTGGAATGACAATGACTGAATTTCAGCTACGTCGTGTTGCTGTCTCACAGGATTGCAGCAAATGTCAGGCGTCTGGACCCCAGAATTGAATCATAGAATCATACAATACAGAAGAGGTCCTTAGTCTTCACCGACTAAACTAGTCTGCACTAATCCCACCTTCCAGCACTGGGTCCACAGCCTTGAATATTATGACGTTTCAAGTGTTCATCTCAGTACTTTTTAAAAGTTAGGAGTTTTCTGACTTCAATTACCCTCCCAAGTGCATTCCAGATCCCACCACCCTCTGGGTGAAAACACTTTCATTCAAATCTACCTCTCACTTCCTGCCTTTCACCTTAACATGATGCAACCTTCGGCTAAGGTGAGCAGGTGCTTCCTATCCAACCTGTCCACATCTCTCATAATCTTAAACAATTCAATCAGGCACATCCTCAGCCCTCTCTGCTCTAAAGAAAACAACCCACGTTCATTCAGCGTCTATTAATAGCTAAAGTGCTCTGTGTCAGACAACATCCTGGTGAAACCCCCTGTGCACAACTTCCATTGCAGTCACATCCTTCTTATTGTCTGGTAACCAGATCTGCACACAATATTTCAGTCGCAGCTTAACCTAAGTCGTGTACAGCTACAACACAACCTCCCTGCTCTTATAATCAATGTTACAACTGTAAAAGCAAGTGTCCCATATGTCTTTTTAACCACCCTATTAACCTGCCCTGCCCTCTTTAAGTATGTATAGACAAGTACCCCAAGGTCCTTTGATTCTTTCGCGCTTCTAGTGTCCTGCCATTCATTGAGTACTCACTTGTCTTGTTCCTTCTTTCAAAGTGCATCACCTGACACCTCTCCGCATTAAATTCCATCTGACACTGATCTGCTCATCTGACCAAGGACAACCCAAGCCTCTACCATTCCAAGCCTCTACCATGGGCAGACAGTCGGCAGTGCACAGGTAGCTGAAAGACATATCTGATACCATATTTTTCAAGTCACCCTCCTATAAGTCTGTCAATGGGGCGCCATAAAATTCCACCCAAGGTTTTCCCCGAAAAATCTTCTCCCACACATCTCTGGACATAGAATCATAGAATCCCTACAGTGTGGAAATAGGCCACTCAGTCCAACAAGTCCACCCCGCCCCTCCGAACAGCATCCCACCCAGACCCATTCCCCTACCCCTGCATTTTACCATGTCTTATCCACCTAACCTAAACATCCTTGGGCACTATAGGCAATTTAGCATGGCCAATCCTTTGGACTGTGGGATGAAACCAGAGCACTCAGAGGAAACCCACGCAGACACAGGGAGAATGTGCAAATTCCACACAGACAGTTGCCCGAGAGTGGAATTGAACCTGGGTCCCTGGCACTGTGAGGCACTGTGCCTTACCACTTTACATCTTCTGCCATCCGAACACAGCACCACAATGATAGAGACTAGAGTCAGACATTACCACCTGTAAATATTTCACTATTTCAGCAATTTGGCTAACCTCACAGAGAGTAGGTACTTGAGGCAGTCAGAAAAATTTGCATTTTACAAAAAACGCTGCAAGTGGGTTGGGGGAAGTAAGTCATGAAGATAAATAACTATAGAAGATATTGTAAAGTAAGGCTGTACAGAATGACGTGTGTCATTCTTTGAAGGAGTAGCATATGCTGTGGATAAAGGGGAGGCTGTAGAAGTACTCAGTTTGATTTCTAGAAGGTATTAACATGAAGCCACATGAATGCTATTGCGGAAAATAAAACCTTATGGTGTAAATGGTAACACATGAACAAAGATTGGAGAGTGGCTAGCTGGCAGAAAACGGGGACTATTCATCAATGGATCTTTGTCTGATTTGCAGATGTGATGACTGGAATCCCACTTGAGCTTGGGACCTCAATCTTTTACAATTTACATTAATGACTTCGATAAGGGGAGTGAAGCCATGGTAGTTGAATGCACAGATAACACAATGCTAGTTATAAAAGTATGTTGTGAAGAAGATATAAGGAAGCTGCAGATGGATATAAATAAGCTGAGTGTGTGAGCAAAAGTCTGCTAGATGTAGTATAATGTGGGAAATGTGAAGTTGTTCACTTTGGCAGGAAGAATAAAAAAATGGAGTATTTCTTAAACAGAGATCGACTACAGAATTTCAAGGGATTTAGGTGTTCTGTTGCATCTCACAAGAAGTTAGTGTGTACCTACAGAATATTATCAAGGAAGCTAAAAGGATGCTATCCTTTATTAAGACAAAACCATTAAAGTAAGGATGTTATGCTTCAGTTATACAGAGCATTACTGAGACCAAATCTCTAAACTGTGTGCAGTTTGGTCTCCTTATTTAAGGAAATATATTAGTGTATTTGTGTCATTTCAGAGGAGGTTTACCAAATTGATGCCTAGAAGAAATTAGTGTCTTAAGAGGATAAGTTGAGCAGGGCTTACTTCCACTAGAGTTTAGAAGAATCAAAGGTGATTTGATTGAAGGGTATAAGATCCTGAATGGTCTTGACATGGGTTTCCGCTTGTTGGTCAGTTCAAAAGTAGGAGGCATTGATTTAAAATTATGGATTGCCCTCTCAGGACAGGGATGAAAAGAAGATTTTTTCCTCACAGAGGGTTGTGTGATTTTATAACTCTCTAGAGAATGGTAGAACGAAGTATTAGTTCTTTTTAAGACAGAGGTGGACAGATTCTTATTAGGCTGGAGAATCAAGGGTTAACAGAGATAGATGGGAACGTGGATATCAAAACACAAACAGATCAGCCACGATTTCGATGAATGGCGGAGCAGGCTTGAAGGACTGAATAGTCTACTTCTGCTCCCATTTCGTATGTTTGTATGTTCTCTTTCAGGAGTTCAGTAATGAATATTGTCCAATAATGATGTTGAATCTATTACAATTTTTCCACTTCAAATTACATTTCCCAGATTTGCTAAATAACATAGACACTTACCTCAAGCTTTTTACTGTCCATTGTATTTTTAAAACCAGCACTTTTTGAAATTTTGCTGTTACCTCCAACTTTGGCAGAAGCTACAATAATAAACAAAAATAGATAAAGTTCTTCCTCTGTATCATCCATGAATTTAGTCGGCCATCATTGATGGGAACGTAGGTGGCTGGACCTGTAAGTTAGGAAACCATGCCATTGGTATCATGCCATCCACCTGCTTCAATTTTGTGCTGATGGGGATCATGCTGAAAGAGTTGCCTCATCCTGCGATCACTCTGGTCTAATGAGCAGCAGAAGAGATCGATGCACAAAGTGCAACCCAGTAGGGTATAATCTTGTGCATTGCTGGTCAGTTGTATGTAGGGGTTTGCATCTTGCTTGGCCCCGAGTGCCAATCAGGGGCCCTTCCTCACATTTCGGCATCCTTACTTCCACCCTTCCCACCTGCCATGTCCAACATGCCTCCAATCATTTTGACAAGGCATTGTGGGTTTACAGAGTGCTAGCCTCCAATTAGCCAGTAGCTCTATCAGGCAGAACCACCTCCTGGAGACTGGCAAAAATGCCATTTCATACTAGGCATAGGGCCATTGTCTAAAAAATTAAAACAGTGCAATGTAGCTAAGCAAAGTCAGGTTCGTCTCCAATTTTTGTGCTGGAGTGCAAGTAGTCCATTTCTTAACATATGACCCAAAGTCATCTGTAATAATGCGAGCACAATAATCAAATCTATTTCAACACTTAAATTATAACATTTTCCTCTTCCTGGTACTGTTGTATTGATTGTCTGAGTGCAGTGAATAGAGAAAACATGGTTGAGAAGGAAAGCTTTACAAGCCTTACTCCCAATTTTCTTCTCTTCATGTGCTCAGGTGTTCCAGTACATTCAGGGACAAGAACAGGAAGTGTGCTACATTCAGAATTGGCCAGTACAGTTAGAATCAAATTATTGACTCTAATAGACAACATTGTTAGCAAAGAGAACAAATTCATCTACTTCAAATTAAAGTTTGGTTCCAATCCAGTTTTCAGGTTTTTGCTAGATAAGAGAACTGAAGTTTGGATCAAGTCCCATTTTACAATTTAAATCAGAATCGCCCACAGCTTTCAACGATTGTGTTACAATATAGCAATGAAAGCAGTTTAATCAAAGTCTGGTTTCTTCTATAAAAGTGCCTTAAAATTACATATTAAAACAGCTAGTGATAGTGTTCACCAGTGGTTTAGTTTAGCCGTCAGTTGCTAAAGCACAAAAATCTCACAGTGAATCTCTAGTGAGGCAGATATAGCTATTTTTAATCAACCTGCTCAGATATATCATGACATACCTCGAGAACAAGTGGGACTTGAACAGGCCTTCTGAGTCAGAGGTAGGGATATTATCATTGTGTCACAAGAGGCCTTTTTAAATTAATTTTTGTTTTAATTGGATTTTCCCAGGTTGGAGGGATCAATTACTAGGGGATACAGGTTCAAGGTACGAGGGGGCAAGTTTAAAAGAGATGTGTGACGGAAGTTTTTCACAAAAAGGGTGGTGAGTGCTTGACATGTGTTGCCAGAGGAGGAGGTGGAAGCAGAAACAATAGCAGCATTCAAGAAGCACCTGGACAAATACATGACTAGGAAGGGAATAGAGGAATACGGATCCTGTAAGTGAAGACAGTTTTAGTATGGAAGAGCAAAATGTTTCGGCACAGGCTTGGAGGGCCGAAGTGCCTGTTCTCGTGCTGTATTGTTCTTTGTTCTTTGTTTTCTGTTGAATTCAGATTTCACCATCTGCTATAGTGAGTTTCAAGCCCAGCTCCCCAGAACACTGGCCTGTGTTTGCAACAAAAGACATGATTGAGCACATTGAGGCTCATCAATGGTGTGTGCACATGCTTGCAAGTGTCAGGGTGGACTCACCTACGGAAGTTTTCAAAACAAATCATTTCTTTCATTTCACAGAATCATAGAATCATAAAGTGCAGAAGAGTCTGCACTGATACATGAGAAACACCTGACCTTCAACCTAATCCCATTTATCAGTATTTGGTCCATAGTCTTGAATATTATGACGTTATTTCACCTAGGGGTTTAAGGATACGGCCATGCCATCAGGGTGCACCGTCAAAAACAATCCAGCACGATATTTGCTCCTCAAGGCACACTTAGCAAAGTCTTAGTTGAGAGACATAGGAATAGGAAAGGCCATTTAGCCCCTCCAATCCCTTGACCAAAGAGATCATGGTTGATCTTTGACTTAACTGCTGTTAGTTCCATATATCTTAATACCTTTGGTGAACAAAATCTATCAATCTCAGAATTAAAATTAACAACTGATCCAGCAGAACTTCCACTTTACTGACCCCATATCTCCAAGCCTGTTGGAGAAATCCAGTCCAATGAGTAGTATAAGATAACAAGGTGTAGAGCTGGATGAACACAGCAGGCCAGGCAGCATCAGAGGAGCAGGAAAGCTGACGTTTCGGGTCTGGATCCTTCTCCAGCTCTACATCTTGTTATCTCAGACTCCAGCATCGGCAGTTCCTACTATCTCCCAATGAGTAGTATGTTCTTTAGGAATTAAGGTGTAGGTTTTTCTAGTTGAAAACAATTTAGAAAATAAAGGAAATGATCTAAATTGAAAGTAAGTATAAGAGACTTCCTATTTATGCATTAGCTTCCTTTGCATTGACCTCTTACAATTTTGAAGCTGACTCAGGGAGATAACCTGATCTTAAGACTCCAGAAACATTTATCCGAAAGTGATCTACAAAAATGACCTAACGATGATCTGCTCTCAAACTTAACCTTCTTTCCTGTGAGAAACCACTGACCTCTGCGATTTGTTTTCCATGGCGGTATGGTTGAAAATTGTAACACAGTACACAAGGCATCATAGTCAAAATTCTTCAAAGACGTACAGAATAGAGTCATACCTGCTCTTCGCTGTAGACAGCTTCTGATTAGTCTCTTCATTTGGATTTCCATTGTTTCTTGAAATGCACATTCCCCTAATTCATTCCTTTCAAAGGGATCAGCTCCATGCTGTAGCAGCAATCTGACCACCTATAGGTATAACAAATACTTAAAGCCTTAATTCTTGGATATTCCTGTGGCCAGGCAGCAAAGTATTACTTCTGATTGTAAATTTGTTGATCCATCACACAATGTATTTTCCACTATTCCCTGGTAACCACAGATTTCAGGTTATAGTAGACCAGCTGCAGAACTAATAACAGCGATCTTACCAGAATACAAAGTAGTAAGATTGCAAAAAGGAAAATATTTTTGTTGAGATTCTCCCACTTCTCCATGAATGTTTGAAATAATAAACTGGACACTTTTAAGAGATTGACTGTATTATATTTAAACAAATTTAGCGCTTGAGAATTAGCAGGGATTAATATTAAGTATTGATATTAAGATTAGGGTTTCTACAAAACCATAAGACACAGGAGCTGAAGTAGACCACTCAGCTAATTGAGTCTGCTTCACCATTCAGTGTCATCGCTAATCTAATGACCCTCAACTCCATTTTCCTGCCTTTTCAACATAACCCTCCATTCCCTTACTGATTAAAAATCTGTCCATCTTAGCCCTGAATATACTTAACAACCCAGTCTCAACAGCCCTCTGTCGCAAATAATTTCACAGATTCTCTACCCTCTAAGAGAAGAACTTTGTCCTCTTTTCTGTTTTACATGGACAACCCCTTACTGTGAGATTGTGTCCACTGGTCCTAGAGTCTCACACAAGGCGAAACAACCTCTCCATAAGAATCTATATGTTTCAATAAGGTCACCCGTCATTCCTCCAAATTCCAATGAGTACAGGCTAAACTACTGAACCTTTCCTCATAATATAGTCTCTCCCCATCTGATATCAGCCTTATGGACCTTCTATGGACTGTGTTCGATGCTAGCATATCTTTCTTTAGATAAGGGGATCAAAATTGTTCACCGTACTCCAGCTGTGGCTGACTAGTGCCTTGTATTGTTTTCCCAAAACTTCCCTACTTTTATACTCCATTCCCTTTGATATAAAAGTCAACATTACATTTGCCTGACTTTTCCCACTGAACTTGGATGCTAGCTTTTACTGATTCATGTGCGAGCACTCGCAAATCCCTTTATGCTGCAACCTTCTCCATTTAAATAATATTCAGCTCCTCTTACTCTTCCTGCCAAAGTGCACGATCTCACATTTTCCCCACATTATATTCCATTTACCAAGTTTTTGCCCACTCAGTCCATAACCCTTTACAGACACTTTGTGTCATCCTCACCACTTGTCTTCCCACCTACTGTTATGTCATCTGCAAACTTGGCTATAATACATTTACTTTTCTCATCCAAGTCATTAATGTATACTGTAAATAATTGTGACTCCAGCACTGATCCCCTTGTATTGATGGGGCAAAAATCAATGGATCAACACTGCCAGAGTACATAATGTGTAGCTGGAAGATTACTGCATTATTATGAGTTACATCCTGTATGCCTATCTTCCCAAAGAAGCTGCAAATCATTGTTTGTTTTGTTTCAGCTTTCCCAGCACACATTGAACTTTAGTTCTAATGAATTGTCGGTTCAGCCATTTCAAGAGGTGTAAAGTATTTAATGTAAATATAATTTGCAGAGACTTATAATGGTTTTCTTTGAAATCAATAGTACCTCAAAGTGTCCACTTTTCACTGCATCCTGTAGAGGTGTCACACCGTTCAAGCCTTTACAATCTACATCTGCTCCAGCTGATAACAGTAACTCTACAGCTTCATGAAAACCTCTCGCACTTGCTTCATGCAGAGCTGTCCAACCTACGCACAGATTAATATTAAGATGTAACAATCTAGAGCTATTCTTCCACTACCATGAAATTAGTTTTGGGACCACTTATGTCATGGTAATCAATAAAACAATCACAGTGAAAATCACAACTATAGAAGTATGTTCTGAAATGAGGTGGGTTAAACAGAAAAAGTGATGGATCTGCTTGAATATGTCAAGCGTAGTTGAAGCCCATTTCAGCAGCTACTGAATGAGTTCTTCTTCCTATTATGCAGTACACAGAAAGATACCATGTCATCCCTCCCACCTACACCTACCAATTCCCAAAGGGATAAAGATCATTCTACTCAGAAACAGTAGGATTAAAGTTATGAGCAACTGGAAATGATGAAGAAAAGTATTATTTTTGAGGAATAACAAGTAGAGATTTGCATTAAAAACAACTACTGCATTGAGTAACAGGTAGAAAACAAAAACAAATCTTTCCCCAGTGGAAGAATGCAAAGCTCATATCCACAATCTGATACAACAACTTCAGTGGGCAAGGTTGAGGGAGTCCTGCTACGCCTAGTTGTTATGCAGACTCTCAGTTGAAGCTATAACTTTATATAACTTATTTTAAGATCTTAGGATGAAGTCCATTGGGATCCAGGCACTTGTCAAGCTACAGTTCCAAGAATTTGCTCAGTATCACTTCCCTGGTGATGTATTTTTCTGGCATTCCTCCTTCTCTTTCATTCAATGATTTACAAGTATTTCTGAGATGTTATTTGTATCCTTTACATTGTTCTTTTATTATTTACTTTGAGACCTGTCTGTTGATTTTCTCCTAAGTTTATAGGTTTTTTTCCCCTTTCCTTCACAGGTCTATAAATAAGTGGATTGTAACATTTAAATGAGACTGCCTGCATGATTACATGGCTGTTTTTTTTGGGAGACTGATTTGCCTGTGAGAGAATTGAAGATGCAAGGCTAGTTGTTCGAATTTTTGACATGTACCTCCTGAAAGTGAAGTTTTACATGACATGTTGGGTTGGGGTGGGGAGATGAAGCATTAACTTTAATTTCTCTCCACTGATGCTACCAGGCCTGCTGAGCATGATTTTCTCCTGCCAGTGAAGATGCAATGAATGGCAGATGAAAGAATTTAATCAGGTAAAAATCCAAAACTCGAGACAATCTTTAGCAATTAAGTTATCCCACTTCAAAATGCAAGTCAACCTTCTCATTATTTACACAACTAGCTGGAATTAATTCAGGCTTCCTAAGTAACTTCTGCCCAGTCAAGATATTCAACATCACAGATACAATAGGTGACTTTGTCTTCAGCCTTCAGTCTGGACAAGCTCTTCACCTTTTCTGCTTCTAACGAAACATTGTAACTGTTCATTGTCTTCACTTTTGATGTAAAATCTACTACTGGGTGCATCCAAGGGGACCAAGACAGAACCCAACTGAGAATGGCAATGCAGCAGATTATGCTTCCGAGGTGGCAACTTAGCACAGAAGGTAAACCAATAGCTTGCAGCTGGGAGGACCAACTTAACACACAAGGTAAAGCTACAACTGTAGGATACAGATAAACCTCAACATGAAAGGGGGAATACATGGGGTTGAAGGGCATGATGCTGCGTCAACATCAGAGCGAGTTCATGTGCCTGCACAGCATGTGGCAGACACAGTGCATGTGGATGAAAAGCATGGTGATGTGTAAAAGGGAAAGCAGAAGCACAATTACTGGGGTGAGTATGGGGTCCTGCTAATCATGGAGAACCGTCAAAGTCAGCCCAGAGGCTGGGCCATTTCTAACCCAGAATATTAGCCGCAGTCAGTCAGGTAGTTGGGCCAAATCAAGTCCAGGGATCAGCATCTTATCAGTCCGGGGGTTGAGTCAGTTCTAGAACAATCAGTTTTAGAAATCAAACGAAATTAGTCTGGGCTTTGCTTATGGCCTGTCTGTCAGGAAGCCTTGTTAATTGCATCTGGGGAGTTGGGCCATAAATAATGAGGGATGTTGAGAAAAAGCAGTCCAGGAGAATCGGTCATTTCAGTAGTCATAGATGAACAGGGGAGATTGCAGGGTCTAAGCATGGCATCATCATGGCTGCAGGCAGCTCGAGTCTGAGGATTGGCCTGGTTGTACTGGCTAGCTGGAGGAATGATTACTGCTATCAGGCAACTGAATGTAGTAGAGTGGGATATGGTAGGATATGTGTCTAGAAAGAATGGAGGTGGGGTAGTGGGGGCTATGGTGAAACTCAAGGTTGAATGTGGGGAGGACACAGAGCCTGCATGGGTATCAGGATCTTGACTGGGAGGGGCTCTGGGGGTAAAATTGGGACTCTAAGGTTTTGGAGTAGATTTGTAGCTCAGGTTATGGGTGTTGAGGTTGGTTGGCTCGCCGAGCTGGTTTGTTGTTCCGCAGACGTTTCGTTACCATGCTGAGTAACATCATCAGTGCAGCCTCCGATGAAGCGTTGGTGTGTTTTCCCGCCTGGTTTTTAAAATCTGGGGTCCGTTGAGCTGGATTGCCTCACTTCCGGTTTTTCTTCGTAGTGGAGTGTATATGGGGTCGAGTTCTATGTATTTATTGATGGCTTTCTTCGTGGAGTACCAGGCTACTAGGAATTCCCATGCCCATCTCTGCTTAGCTTGTCCCAAGATTTTGGTGTTGTCCCAGTCGAATTGGTGGTTCTCCTTATGTGGATTGAGATGAGTGAGTATTGGTCGTGTCTTTTTGTAGCCAGTTGGTGTTCGTGTACCCTTGTTGTTAGTTTCCTTCCTGTTTGTCCGATGTAGTGTTTCTCACAGTCTCTGCAGGGGATCTTATAGATGACATTGGTCCTGTCCATGGCGGGGAGTGGGTCTTTAGTTCGGGTGAGCAGTTGTCGTAGGGTTGATGTGGGCTTGTGTGCCACTCTGATGCCAAGCGGTCGTAGGAGTCTTGTGGTTAGTTCCAATGTGTTCCTGATGTAGGGTAGTGTGATGAGTGTGTCAGGGCGTGTAGTATCTTCCTGATGTTGTTCATGTAGGCATCTTCTGACCCAGTTTTTTGGATATCCATTATCCTTGAAAACCTGGAAGAGGTATTCTTCTTCCTCTTGGCGTGGTTCTGTGTTGCTGCAGTGTGTTGTTGCCCGTTTAAATAGTGTTCGCACGCAGCTTTGTTTGTGTGTGTTGGGATGGTTACTGTTGAAGTTCAGTGCCTGGTCTGTGTGTGTGGCTTTTCTGTGTACTTTCGTTTGGAGTTCCCCATTTGTCTTGCGCTCTACCGTGACGTCTAGGAATGGGAGCTGTTTGTTCGTCTCCTCCTCTCTGGTGAATTTTATTCTGGTGAGGGTGTTATACTCTACGAAGAAAGCCATCAGTAAATACATAGAACTCGACCCTATATACACTCCACTACAAAGGAAAACCGGAAGTGAGGCCATCCAGCTCAACGGACTCCAGAGTTTAAAAACCAGGTGGGAAAACACACCGACGCTTCATCGGAGGCTGCACTGATGATGTACCCAGCATGGTAACGAAACGTCTGCGGAACAACAAACCAGCTTGGCGAGTAAAATTGGAACATTGATAGTAACAGAGGTGGAAAATAAAGGGCCATTGGGAAAACAGGTTTCCAAGACGGTGGGGGTGATTCAGACTGTGGGTATATTGTAGGTCATGGGGAGGCTGCAACTCACCACAGTGAATGCAAATTCTGAAACTTACCACCTTGATATGAAAATCAAATGCCCATTGCACTTTCAATTTCAAGAAACCTATACACAAAACTAAGTAACATTTTTCTGAAAGGGTGAGTGGTTGACAGCTGGGATGTGTGGCCAACTGAAGGGCACTGCTACAATTCAGGAGTCCCATAAGTGTTTCATAGAAAGATTGTTTCATAGAATTCTAGAGTGTGGAAAGAGGCCATTCAGCCCATTCAGTCCGCACCGACCTTCAGAAGACAATTCCACCCAGACCCAGCACCAACATCACCTCTGCATCCAATCCCCACAATCCCGATACTTCCCATGGCTAATCCACCTAGCCTTAACGTTCCTGGACACTATGGGCAGTTTAGCATGGCCAATCCACCTGACCTGCATGCCTTTGGACAGTGGGAGGAAACCGGAGCACTCTGTAGAAATCCATGCAGACAGAGGGGGCATGTGCAAATTCCACATGACAGTTACCCAAGGCTGCAATCGAACCCGGGTTCCTGGCACTGTGAGGCAGCAGGGCTAACCACTGTGCCGTCGTGCCCACCAATCGTTGCCTTCAATTCCCACTTAAGCAGCATGTCTACATATCTCACATCATCCAACTGAACTAAAGTTCATGAAGTCTGATTGACATCTCAAAACATCTCAGGTCTACAAGAGTCAATGGCGCACGGAACATTCACTATATACCACATTGCCCATGTTGGCCACAGCAGACCCTCAACAAGTGATGCAAGCCATGACATTTTGACTGCTATATCCTCACAACCATGGTGAAGAGAGGTAGGATGACATAGCGAGTGCTCCTGACAGCTGCTGCATGCCTATGCCATATTGTCATTTTCTTGGATGACATAAATTAAGTCAGGATAGCCAATATGATTAGAAAGGGGTATGGTTAGAAGATTCTCCAGCAGTCGAATATTTGCCCAAACACCTGTGATGCTTGTGTCAAGAAGCTGCCATCTCAAGACAAACATCAGTGCAGATCCACATACAGCACATGCGGCTGGAAGACTTGGCCAAGTTGAAGATCAAACTCTGAGGGCATAACTTAGAGCTTCGTTGGGAATGATGGAAAGGGTAGGCATACCATTAATAGGATTGTGTACTTTCATTTACTGTTTTCACAGATCTCCTGAAAGAGGTAGAATCATGGCACAGATCAGCACTGCCATTCTTCTTGTGCTCCTGCAGCTCCAAAGGAATCCAGTGCACCACTGAGGGAATGCTGTGCTACTGGAGGTGTTATTTTGTAAATGAGATGGTTAAACTGATATTTGCTCTGCCTGTTCTAGTGGACACAAATGATCCAATGACATGATTTTGAAGATGAGCAGGAGTCATCCTTGGTTTCCTGGTCAACATTTATCCATCAATCAATATTGCAAAAACAGATGATTTGACCATTATCACTTTGCTGTTTATGGGAGATTGCTGTGCATAATTGGTTGAATACTTCCTAATGTATAACTGTAATTACACTTCAAGAGTACTTTTTTGGCTGTATAGGACATTGAAATGCCAGCAATCATGAATGGTGCATGTAAATGTCTTATTCTTTTTATTCTGTCTTTTTTAATCCTTTGGCCCACAGTTCAAACAGTTTACCTTCCCAATCTCTTTTGCAGTTCACAAATGTACTGCTGTTCTTCCCTCATCCACACCACATGTATCATGTTGGTACTCTTTCTTGCCTTGCATTTCAAATCAGCAAGCCAAGCTCTCCCTCTTTGAATTGGTACTCATCTCCTTGTATTCAGTTCTAGCTGCGACATTTCTGCACCCTTCCAACAGTTGCAGTTGCTACATTCTCTTTCAAGCCAGCACCACAGCACAGTGTTCCTCATATTTCAACTATTTTTCCCTACATGTTCACTGGAAGAGTCCTGTGCTGAAAGTTGGATTCATTGGTGTCCTTTGATCAAATCAAAACTATACATGGCATCGTCTGAAAATAATTTAATAAAGGTTCACTGAAATTGTCAAACAAACACAGAGAATGCTGGAGAAATTCAGCATCTCTGGCATCATCTGTGAACTGAAACTGGGAGTTAATGTTTCGAGTCTAGTAGGTCTCTTCAATCAAAGTTGTCGATATGTTTGCAGCATGCAAGTCTCAAAAGTGAAGAAATATTCCATACCTGCATAATCTGACAGGTTTACATTGACGCCTGCTCGTATGAGGGCTCGAAGCAGATATACATCTCTTTGCATTGCAGCTTCATGCAACTTTGTCTCTCCATATATGTTCCTTCTATTCATATTCTTGCAACAATTTATGATGGCAGAATGGCTGGAGGCAGATCGAGTCTGCATGTGTTCACCATCTGATGAAAACAACAAATTAAGAAAAATTGGCAATAACAATATTTTGTACCAGTGAAAAGCAAATATACTGATTCTGTTAAATTGAAGCTTCTTTATTTCGAATAACTGTAAATATTTCACACTCTTCCTTACAGAGAGACACAAGTAACACATACCACAATTCCCTATGTATAACATGCAGGAAATAACAATGGTGTAGTGACTGAGTAAATCAAATATTAAATGGGTACCCTGAAATTTTTGTTGCTTTCAGTACTGACTCTCCTTTATTTTGAAAACCAGAAATATGTGCCCCTTATAGATATTTCTTTGTTAACCTTCACCAACTTTAATGCTGAGAATTCATAACAAGGTAGTATTAAGATGTGAGAATTGCAGATGCTGGAGTCAGAGATAACAAAGTGTAGAGCTGGAGGAACACAGCAGGCCAGGCAGCATTAGACCCTTCTGAAGAAGGGTCCCAACCTGAAACGTCAACTTTCCTGTTCCTCTGATGCTGCCTGGCCTGCTGTTTTTACCAGCTCCACACTTTAGTATTAAAATGTGCTAGCCGGAGCTGGATATCAGATACCACAGAAGTGTTATGGTGCAGAGGGAAACCATTTGGCCCATCATGTCTGCACCAGCTCTTGAAATGAGCATCATGACTCAATGCTATTCTCCTGCTGGGATTGGTTTCTCTTATTTACTCTATCCTCTTGGCTGCATTCTCTCCAAGGAGAGCAGTCCCAACCTCTTCAATCTACTCTCATAACTGAAGTTGCTCATCCCTGGGGAACCAGTCTTGTAAATCTCTTCTGAACGCTTTCTAATGCTTTCACATCCTTCCTATATCATGGCATCCAGAACTGTACACAATACTCTAACAAGTGCCTTGTACAAATACAGCATCGTATGCCAGACCCTAATTAATAAAGCCCAGGATATGTATGCTTTATTAAGTGCTCTCTCCCTATCTTCAATGATCTGTGTACACATACACCCAGGTTCCTCTGCTCCTGCACCCCCATTGGAATTGTACCCTTTATACTATATTGTCTGTCTATATTCTTCTCACCAAGATGCAGCTCCTGGCATTGAGTCTCATCTAAAACTCATTCGTCTAGAGCACTAAATTGTACCTAACAATACAGTATAGGGGCTGCAGCTTGACTACACTTAAGCAATCCTGTAACTTGGTAGCTTTTGTGGATGGTCTTAAGTATCTAATAGGGTCTTTCAGGACCTGAGGACATTCCAAAATGATCAACAGCCATTGAAATGATTTTTAAATATAGTCATTGTTAGATTGTAATGAGAGTACCTGGGACAGTTTCAGCGTCGGTAGCATGCAGAGATTATCCTGGGATTTGGTGTAACAGGTCAAGAGTTCTGCAATTTGGCAGCTTTTAGAGGGGTTATTGGATTATGGCTGTGCAGGAAATGCTTTGACTGGGCATCACAGTGGAGGGGGAATCAGAAGTTTAAAAGAAGTATGAATGGAATATGGCACAAAAATAGCAGCAAAAAATGTCAACATCTGGAGTCACTCAACCCAACGCATTACCTCCGATTTCTCTCCACAGATGCTGCCAGGCCTGCTGAACTTTTCCAGCAATTTCTATTTTTGTCTCTGATTTACAGCATCCACAGTTCTTTCAGTTTTTAAAGGAACATGGGACTTTAGCTACAGGAGGTGGCCAGTGCACAGTCAGCACTGAGGGGAAGTGTACCTGAAAGTACTGTGACTGTCTGTCTGTTCCTTTTGTCAACCTATAGCTCTACTAATCTCTGTCTGCTGCTATGTTTTGCAATACACAACTCTCTCTCCACAACACTCTGTTGTCAGTTATTAGATTGTGTACATTTTCTAATGATCATCAAAAATCAGCCTATCAATAGACAACATCTGGAGTTTGTTTCCTTCCCCGGTGCAAATAAAAACTTGAATTAGAATAAGGCAAGATACTGTGTCTTTCTCTTACTTGGCTCCCTGACCTACAAATGGGATAAAGCTGTGTTAAGGCAAGATGGCGGCAGAGTAAGATGCTCCAGCTGGAGCTCCTCTGCTCCGCCTGTTCTTTTTCTTTATTTTTCTTTTGTTCTCTCTCTTCTTTTATCTCCCTTTCTGTGTTAGGGGAATGGAGGAGCTGGCAAGTTCCCGAGGTGAATCTTGGAGCAGCACCTGACACATGAAAGCAGTCCCAGAGCAGCGGCCGACGCATGGGATGCAATTCTGGACCAGTGGCCCACATGGGGGAAGCAGTCCCAGAGCAACGGCCGACGTGTGGGATGCAGTTCTGGACCAGCAGCCGACGCGTGGGATGCAGTTCCGGACCAGCGGCCGACGCGTGGGATGCAGTTCCGGACTAGCGGCCCAACGTGGGGGAAGCAGTCCTGGACCAGCGGCCCAAGTGGGTGAAGCAGTCCTGGACCAGCGGCCAGCTCAAGCAGTGGGTTCCAGGTGGAGACCAGCAAGGGAAAGCAGTCCTGGAACTTACCTTGGAGCAACTGAGAGCTGGAATGGAGCAGAGTTTTTTAGGCTTGGAGCACAGCAGGGATGGTTACTGCAATGGGATCTGGCATAGGCGGACAGATGTGTGGAAGCCCCTGCGCTGAGCTGCTGCAATGTAATGTTTATTTGAAATTGTTTTTATCTGACTGTAATGTCAATCTTTTGACTATGTCTTATTTCTAATTTATTCTTTAAACACTGTAAAATAATGCAACTATTTTTCTTTTATTCGTTTTTTGTATCTAGATTTGTACCTATGTACTTGTACCTAAAATGGCGCCATAAGAGGCGACATTGTAAAACTTTTCACTGTACTCCTGTACTTGAGTGCACGTGACAATAAAGGATATTCTATTCTATTTTGTTCTGTTCATTTCCAGGTGGGAAACAGGCATTTTATGGTATAATTACCCACCTCTCAATCAACATTTACTTCCCTCTAAGGTGCACCCTGGGTGCCACTTTAAATATTGAAAACCTTACTGCGTTGAAATAAGGGTTTTACACTAACAGTGGGATCTTGTGAAATTGGTCTGGTCCAGTACCTGACGCATCAAATAATAAACTTGCAAAGTACATCATGACATAAAAATTCAATAACAGCCCTTCAGGAGTGCTAAACAAAGGCCTCGAACCTCCATACAGGTTAGTTGCTGTCCTCTCAAGATACGGATAAAATTCAGGACCTTTTTTTTGCTAGTAACTCAATCTCATCATTAACTTGCCTGTTCTGTTTTGCTGGAAAGCTTGTCTACCTTGCAAATACTTTTTGTGGGTCATTGATAAGAGGAGGAGGAGAGGAGCAGCAAAATAAAGTTCTTCTAACAGAAGTGGCTGAAAGAAGAGGGAGAAGCATAGCAGTGTGTAGAATCCAGACCAAACGCCAGCTTTTACCTCCCAAGAAGATGCAATCTTAAATCTCTTTAAAGTCATTTGGTAACACAGAACCTGAACCTTGATGTAAAAAGACACATTTTGTCGAAGCTTTTCATCTTAATTCACAAGAAATACTAATGTAAAGGGAAAACAATATTTACAGCTGTAGACGAAGAGGATGCTGGTTGGTTGGCAAGTGAACTCTGATTCATTGAGGCATTGCCATGGAGATGAACTGTTAGATGATAACAGTTGTAGCCAAACGGCTGCATCTTATTTCCTACACTGTACCAGAATAGTTAACAGCTAAGTCTCTGCAAAGATGATGGAAAAAGGTGGCCACCTTCACAGGAACAATAGCCTGCTGTGCAAGGCAGAACAAGGCACTGCTCATTAAGCAGGAATCTGGTGATAAGGGCTTCTTGAACTTTGTGGTTTAAGGCTACAAAATGAAAGACAGAAGGGAGGACAATGAAACAGATGCATCTTGTTTATACAACACTTGGATGGAAGATCTTAGGGTCCAGGTCAGGAAATGAACTTTCTGAAACTTTCAAGAGAAAACATAAGTGTTTTCAAGACATCAGCAAACATAATCTAGGAAAAACCATCACAGAAGCAGGACCCCAAGCTTGGAATTCAAAGAAGAAAGGCAGGTCAAACTGAGTGACTGAAGCCTGACCAGCTATCCATCACCAGTGTGGGTAAAGCCAAAGTCTCAATAGCGGGTCTCGGACAGTTTTTTTTGTAACCTGATGCAATTTGTGCTGTTGTGTTAGACCTTGTGAATGATAAATAAAGAAATAGATTGCAGTAATAGTACAAGCTGTAATGATTATTTTCACTGGTGCTGATCCAGGGCGGGCAAGTACAACACAGTTTTTTCCCTAATTTTGTTTAAATTAGCGCAGCTCGGTGGCTCATTTGTTAGCACTGCAGCCTCACAGCACCAGGAACCCAGTTTTGATTCCACCGTCGAACAACTGTCTGTATGAAGCTGGCATGTTCTCCCTGTGTCTGTGTAGGTTTCCTCCGGGTGCTCCCGTTTTCTCCCAGATCCAAAGATGTGCAGGCTAAATGGATTAGCAATGGGAAATGCATGGATAGGGGAGAGGGGGGTGGGCCTGGGTGGAATGTTCTTCTGAGGGTTAGTGAAAACTTGATGGGCTGAATGGCCTACTTCCACACTGTAAGGATTCTATGAAATTTAAATCAGGCAAGTTGACTCTGAATGGTCAATGTACTGCCCTAAGAAATGAACAAGAGAATGACTGCTGCCTATTTTTCAAGTTCAAACAAGTGCAATCTCATGTTCTTTCTGTCTACACAAGAACAGGGTTCTGTGTATTAATATATGCTAGTTAAATCTTAACTCTCTCTTCAAATAATTCAAATAGCATTCATTAAGATACTACTTTTCATTAGCTTGGATTAAATGATATTGCATTGCATAATTTAGCATCAGCAGTAAGTTTATAATCAATGCAATTGAAAATGATACATGAACAGTTCAGTGGTT